CTAAATGTTTGATTTGTTTTCGAAAATTTGGCAGCAAAATTTTAATTTTTAAGAAATATAAGAAATAAATTTTTTTAAGGACAAAGGCCACTAAAAAACAGTTAAAAGGCCGCATGCGGCCTTAAGGCCGCAGGTTCCCCATGCCTGCTCTAAATGATGGTATATATTATGTCACTCATTACTGAATCACTCTATATTTGGGATGACGATAGTGTTAAATATCAATTATGGTTTTTTTTGCTGCTTATTGAAATACATACGTTTTTTTTTGGTAGCTCAAAATCGACATTGATTCGTTATTTTGCGTAAATATTTTCTGACTGCATGTAATAAAAGAATAATGCACAAAGTATTTTAAAAAGAAGAATTAGAAAAATTACAAATATTTCTTTTATGAAGGCCACAGTTCTTTATGTTAAAACTCACTCAAAGTTACCTGTCTAAACAATCGAAAAATATTGAGTGAACTCAAAAAATAGTTACTGTTTTATTGATCTGGCAAATGAAATGAAAATTAACTAAAGTTATGGAATATTAAAAATTTCAAATAGAAAACTTTTGTTTTTTTCGTTAAACATAATTTTTAATTCAATAAACTTTGGTCAGTTATATAAAGTAATTTCATATATTTACGGTTTGTAGATGTTTAGAGATATCAAATTGTGATCCTGGTTATGCTGTTGAAGAGTTCTGCTATTAAGTTTAGCCGAGCGACAAAAAAGTATCAAAAATTATGGCAAGAAGTAACTGAGGTTTTCGTGTCTAGGATGGCAGGATTTCGTCTAACGAAATGTACAAGCTACTTGTCTGATTACGGAAAGTTGCTGTGGAAGGAAAATATAGAAGAAAGAGTAAGAAGGGCCACGAGTACGTTATTTACCTCTAAAGGGGCGGCTGGTAGCCACGGAATAGGGAGAGGAAGACGCTGGAGAGGTTGCAGCGAATGTCATATGTGGAACTGACTGTAGCATTGCGTACTGTACCTACTTCGAATTTGGGAGGTTTCATTGGTTTGGACACGGTGAGTGCATTGAGGCCCCAAGCGATAGGTATACTGAGGAGCAGGGATTATACACAGTATACCCCAAGCGACAGGTATACTGAGGAGCAGGGATTAAAAACAGTAGAATGTGGAGGAATATGAAGTGCACGACGTTTGTGTTTGCATGTAGTTTGAGTTTGTTGCGCCATAATTATACCAGCTGGGAGGTTGATTACGGGATTGCGATTCCACAAAGAGAAGATTGGAGTACTGAAGGACTAAACGTACATAAGGGATTGTCCATTTATACAGTTCTACGACAATGGAAGGTCGCGAAAAGTTGGAAATGGAATTATCGATTGGGCTGCCTGATGGACTGCCTGTGAAGAGTTTCCAGAGTGAGGTAGTCTAGTTGGGATGAAAAGAAAACGAAGGTGTTGTTGGGATATAGTAGGGCTAATAGCCAGGGGGTTTGGAACCGCTGCGACGAATACAATATTGCGGACGTGGAGGAAACTCATTATAGAACTCATTTCAACCAAAAAGAATTCCTCACCGCTTTTATTCTGTCCAGATTAAAAAATTAATTTTTGTCTATCTTAGTTATTCTACTACACGCATTTTTGAAAGATATTACATATCTTTGTCACATTTAGTAACGTATATTTTGTTGTCGACAGAGATATAAAAGTTACTGTGAAATAAAAATTAAAAAAAATGAAGACAATGTAATAACAATTAGATATTTCAATAGAAATATTAATAAATTTTGTTAGTTAATATTGCTATTAACATATTTATTAGTGCTTTTGCTACTACTCTTCTTGTGGCATTAAATTTATTGAATATGTATATGAAAATTTCTTTATCCAATGAAAATTTTAAAAAAGTCTAAAAAATGTAAGTCGATTAAAATAAGTTCGTATATAATAGTAAAAACAAAGTTAAAACTTACTATATCTTATAACTCGTATGTACGGATTTATCAATATGGTTCAATCTATCCCTTATATTCCTATAATTTATTGGGTTTTTGGCTAATTTTCTTCATCATTTTCATTGAAGTCAACTCAAAGTCATCATTTTTTCTCTAATATACTAGTTGTTATTTATACTTTTGCATGCCACCAGTTTATTCAAAAACAATTTCCTAACTTCAATAAATTCTTCGAGTTTCGTTTCTTCTTTCATTTAAACAAAAAAATAGCAGAATACCAAAATAATGTCTTGGTTCTTTAATTAATTTGCTTTTTTGAAACATAAACATGAATATTTCAATATTATACATATTTATGTATAATGGTATATCAATATATTAATTAATTTACACATATTTTTATTATATAAGTTACAATTTTATAAATAGAAAATTCTGATATAGTAGAACTAATTTTCAATAGATTATTATTTAAAATACACAATATAGAAATTTCAAACCTTAATAGACAACTTAATTTAAAAACGTATGCATACATACTATATTGTAATTTGTAACCATATAATGTATCTGGTATAAAAATCTGTATATATATATTTTAATAAAAAACTTAATATTTCATTTAGCTGTATGATTCAATATTTATCTTAAAAAAGACACTTCCTTTAAAATTTACTATTAATTCATAAATTTTAAAATGCCATACTTTCTTCTCTAAAGAGAATTTTAATTATTACATCATTAACTTAATATTTAATTAAGTTGAAGTACTATTATTAGCTTACATGTTCTAATGTTGTTGAAAAAAGATACTTGAGTTTTTAAAATATAATTTTAATTATAATTAAAATGCCTTTATACCAATGCATTATTATATTTTGATAATTATGTATCACTTGTTTGTGTTAATTTCAATATTATGCAATATATTTTATTAATTAATTAGTACAGAAAAAACAAATCCGTTAATTAAAAGCCAGTTAATATATCGAATTATATAAATATTTTACTTAGGATTTTTAATTAAACATTAGGCTTTTGATCTGCCCGAATTACTACAGCAAGGTACATATTAAAAAATTGTTTGGTATCATTTCTTTTAATCGCATTTTTAACCTAAATTTGAAAATTATGTGCATTAAATATGTAAAAGCTTTTAAAGCCTTTTTACTACGTTCAGTCTATTTGAATCTTACAAAGAAAAAAATTCAAATTTATTTATATTTTTTGATTTTTTAAAATTGGAAACACCTGATACTAAGTATTAGTTGCTTTTTTTTTGTTTTATAAAATCATTCTGCTTAAATTTTTCGCACTGCTTAAAAAAACAAAATTAGTTTCAGTCGAAAATGATTACTTATAATAAAAAGTTTTAAATAACTTCATGCAATATTCTTAAGTAGGAATCATTATTACTTATGTGGTCACACTATTTATCTGAATATTTTATTAATATTGGTTTTTTTTTTTATTTTTCGAAAAAATCTAGAGTGATGTTAAAATCTACAATGATATTTAGATTAATAAGAGAAATTGCAGTTTGAAATTCAATGTCATAACATCGACTTATATTTTGGTTTAATTTTTCGCATGAAATTTATTTTTGAGTAATTTTATATACTTTTATCTTAAATTTAAAAGGATTTAAAACAATTTTGAACCTGGGCAACCTTTAATTGAACAAAATGAAGAAATAACGTATTAACGTATTGCTATGTATACATAATATGGTGTTTTGAAGTAACTTAATCTATTACTCATCAATATACTGACAAATAAAAAAAAATTAAAGTATCAATTTTTTTCGGATTTTGTTCTTCTTCGATTGCCAATAGATTTAAGACGTTGACATATTAAAAATTAATTCTTTTTATTTTATCAATATACAATAACGACTGAAAATTCGAGCAAACAAAATGTGAAAGTTGAATTAAAAAATTTTAATAAACCAATTCTTTTCTCGAATATCATTAATAAGGCGATCATGTCAATCACGTCAGTCACTTTCTTTACTAATGAAAGACAAATTATTATGCAATTAATTGTGATGAATTTTGTAAAATTTCTAGAAATTTCTAGGAATCCTAGGAATGTACCTTTTTTATATTTATTTAAAGGAAAATTAGTATCCCCAAATAGATTTAAAATAAAGTATTACTACAATGGAATTGGCGTTACATTTTAAGTTTAAATAAAGTTGGGTCAAACCAATGGTTTGTATTGTAGCACTTTTCCCTTCAACAAGGGAAAATTCTGCTTTTAAATACAGTCTATGTATACCTATCACACTATTAAAATTATTTTCATTCATTTACAAAAGTATTTCTAGGATTGCATATATTTAAGATGAACGATTTATGCAGTCTTTGAAATAAAGCAAAAATTAATATAAAGTGGGGTTAACATAATGCTTGATTTTAAGGTTTAATTGTGTGAGTTAAGAAAAATAATTATATTTCTTAATGTTATGGAATTTACCCTTAGCTTTTTGCGTTTATAGAAGTTGAAAAAGCTTGCGGTTTCGGAAATATAAGGTGTCAAAAACTCAAATTTTACAAATTTCAAGAAGCGATAACTTGAGAGGGGGTGGAGATGGAAAAAAATTTTCTTCTAACGAAACGAACTATTTGTTAAGGTCTAAAAGCCCCTAAAAAGCTTCAAGCTTCTACAGGCTGAGGTCTAGAAGAAAAACGACATCAAAAATTTGGTAAAAAAGGACTTTAGATAACTGTAAATTTGAACAAAATTTCAAAAATGCTTATGGTTTCATTGAAACAAATATTTAAAAAAGGCCATTTTTAGGGTTTTGGGAGGGTATAACTTCTAGAGGGGGGAGATAGGTAAAAATTTTGTTCTACAGAAATAAGTTTCTGGTAAAGATCTATGTACGTATTAAATTTCAGCTTTCTATCTTTAAGGGTGTAGAAGTTTTGTAAACAAAAAACGTGTCCATGGACGGACGGACGGACGGACAGAGTGAAACTAATAAGCACTTTTTTTTCAAAAATTTTTTGGAAAAGTGCTAAAAATAAAAAAAAATTTTTATTTTTCTCACTAACTCCACCAAAAAAATTAGGAACAGTTTATGAATACATATTTGCAAAAAATCGTTTCTCAAGTTATTTCTAATTAAACCAATTATCTCATTATTACAAAGAATTGCAAAGAATTGATCATTTTTATATACCTACGTACATATACACAATGTACTCTTATTTAATACGCATATTTTTATTGCTTTAAAAACCCAAATTATTTATATTTTATGTATATCTTATTTATTAAAATTGGAAATTTGCTGAAATACCCAACTTTTATTAGTTTTAATATCTTTTTTGCTATTATTGATTAAGTTTGAAATATTTCCGGGATTTGAACTCGATTTAGAAATTATTCGTTTTGGCTGTAGTGCCAATTGACAGTTACATTTACAATTGATATTATTTGGTGATTTCAAATTGACCATGTTACTATTATTTTTATTATTGTTTTGCTTGCAACTAAGATTATTATGTAAAAATGAAGTCTTTTTTAATAAAGGTGTGTTGACTGTACTGTAAAATTCAAAATGATTTTCTTGACGTCTTTCAATATTATCATCACTGAATATAGCTGAATCTCGAAATTCATTTTCCAGGCAGTTTTCAACACAGTCTTCGTAAGTAAAATCTGTTGAAAACTGTTCTGTATGTGTTTTTAATTTTTGATCGTTATTGTCATGTATTGAATGTTTTTGTGCTGCTAAGGTTGTTTTAGCTCCAGTTGACACGCTATCACTTGATGAAGAAAGAGAAAACACCGAATCTCGTTGATGATTGCTTAAAGAAATTACAGAATTGATAATTGAACATGATTGAAATATAGTTTTGGGATCTGCATAGTCCAGATGAGCCATTCGTTCACCAACTCTATTATGAATATTTTGACGACGGCACATTTCGCTGACATCTGAAACTCTACGTTCCGGTGGCTTTTTTTTAAAAGCTTGATTAATATTATCCACACTTTTAATCATTCGCGGTAAGAATGACGAATCTGTTGCTGGTTTCAATTTTTGAATTAGTGACTTTTGATTTTCTGGTAATACCACATCAATTTGGTTTTTAATTGGAACACTACATATCGTTTCCATAAAATTTCCTTGCGAAACATTTTTTTTTTTTGTAGAGGTTGACGTATTTTCACATTTTGTTAAAGTTTGATAATTAATTCTTGAGTCACTATTTCGTAATGCATCACCAATTTTAATTTCATTAATTAGTGTGTTTTCTAAACTATTAGATTTGTCATATACCAAAGTGACATAATCAGATTCCGGTCTTTGGTTTAGCTTATTTTTGTTTTTGTTTGGTCTATAATATTGCTGAGACTTCGAACGGTTTAAAACTGGCGAAAATTTATAAGGAACGTGAACATTTCGCAATAAGGTCTCATAAACCGGTTCTTCAGCTGGTTCTGGATTAAAAATTTGTCTCTGCGTTAAATGTTTTTCAACTTCAAACGGTGGAGAAGAAGAGGTAGGGGGGGGTGGTGGTGGTGTCGTTAAAATTGATTTTCTCAAATCTGAACTTATTAAAGACCGACCATTATCTATTGATTTTTTGCGTGGCGATTTATTTAAAATTTTTTCGAAATCTTTGCTTCCTTTTATTAAAGCTACAATTATTTCAGCATCTTTTTTTACACTTATTTCACTAAGTATTTTTTCAGAATTCTCATTGTTATCATTATAATTTTGTACAGCTTGTGATTCCTGATATGGCACTAAAAATTCTTTGTTTTCAGATTCATTTGCTTTTTCATGAAGATCAGAACCTGTAATGTCTTTTGACACCTCAAATAAATTTTCTGATGACTCAGTTATTTTCAAAACAGTATTGTTAAATTCTGCAATATCCATGTAAAATGTTGCAGTTTCCTTTTTATTAGCACGATTTTTTTTTATTGTAGCGATACGTTTCGGAATAGTTTTTGTATTGTACATTTTAACTTCAACCTTTTTATTTGATTTCATAGGTTTTTCATGACAACTTATATTTTCGTTATCACTTTTAGCTAAATTTGATATATGCTTCGAACTCTTACTATCTTTGGTATAATTTAATTTTATTTTGATTCCATCATTATTACTATCCTTACAATCTACAACATTCCTGAAATTATTATCACTTTTATCAATATACTGATAATTGTTATTACATTCATCGTCATTATACATTATGTGCAAATTTTCTCCAGTCTCATTCAAATTAAGATTGAAAGCTCTATTTGATAAAGATATTATAAAATTATCATCAATACTTCTATTAGATTCTAATAATTTTGGCTTAATATTATTAAGGATATCAAATGAAGATGAGTTTGTAACAGTTTTACGTTTCATTTTCGATCTATTTCTTATTTCGCTGCGACGGTATTGATTACGACGTTCAAGGTATACTGGTGTAGGTGTTGAAGTATTGAGGGTCCATTTTCTAGCATTTTTATCTGGTGTTCGGTCTACAAAATATACAAAAATTAAATTTATCTCGTGTAGTAGTATGTAATAAAGATTTTTGATTTGCCTTCAAATGCACATGAAATGTAATATTTAGCATCTACTTAAAATATACATATGTATATCACATTTACATTATGTTAACAACTTTTACAGCATTAACATAATCCACATTATTACATTTGCACGGCATTTATGTTATGATTTAAAGTCTTATTTGTGATAGTTTGGTAAGTTTGCTATGAAAGTTAAAAAAAAACAAAACTTTTTTTAAGAAAAATTAATTAAGTTTACATAGTACATAAACATTTTAAACATGTTAAAGCAGCTCGTGTTAAAAAAAATCTAAATTTTAAGCCTTAAATACGAGTTATGGTGAAGTAGTTTTATTAGAGTTATTTAATTACTTTCAAATTGCTAGTAGTTGTGCTATATGAACAGAAGATTTGAAGTGCAATCAAAAAAGAAATCCATAAGTGCTGGCAATGTTATTAGAATTGCTTTCATTCGCTTTAAAATTGTATATGTCTTAAAAATCGATTAATATTTTTATTTAGTACGGGAATTTGTGAAATTTGTTTCGTTGCTAGATGTTAAATGGAACCATTACATACATTTATACATCCGCGTTAATAACACAATAAAAAAAATATTACACATTTTAATAATGTGCTGTATCAAATCTTTGCAAATACATAAAATATAATGTAAATTTTTTTGTTGAAAATTAGAAATAATGCAAAATATTTTCCTTTCAAATATTTAAAAATGTTCATTTTAGATAAAATTGTAGAAACTGTGTATAAATATTAAGAGGAACGTATTTACAGACATGTATAATTAATAATTACGCAACTTTGTTATTAGAAAAATAATTTTAATATTTTTATTTATAATTGCACATTAAATGCTAAAAATTCCAGGGTTACGAGGTCGTGGGAGGAAAACAAAAAATTGTAAACTGCTTTGAAACTGAACAAATAAAATATAAAATAATTTGCTAAACTTAATGAAAAAATTAAAATTTTTTTTTTTTAAGAAAAGAAGAATATTGTACTGTCATTTCACATTGCCCCGAAAGGAATTTTCTTTTAGGAAAGCGACAAAAACGTTTTTAAAAAAGGATAATTAATTATAATGTGAGAAATACAAAATATTTTTGATTACAGACTACAGTTCAAGAACAAAAGGTGTTTTTATTATAATTTGCATTTTAAAACTAAAAAATGTATTTATCTTACCAGAATAAAAACATTCTTTCTGGCAGTGAATCACAAGTTATTATGGTGATACATATTCATTAAGTATATATATATATATATTATACATATATATTGTTATACATATAAGATGATTACACATATATATTATTATACTGTACATATACATAATCAGAAGTGAAAATGTTATTATGAATAATAATAACATTTTCACTTCTGAATATGATATGTACATATGTATATGATTATGTATATTCTGATTATGTATATGAACGAATGTGATTATGAATACTTTGGGAACTTCGAATGCAATTATTATGAGTTTAGTTCTTTCTTTGTATTTAATAATAATGAACAAAAAAAATTATTTAACCGGAAAAAATTTGTAAAATTTACGGTTTATTTTATATTGTGCCATAGCTTCACTTTTTTTGAAAATTCACTTCTTTTGCATTATAGCTAATACAAATCAATCTTTAATGACGTAATTTCAAAAAGAATATGAGAAGTATAATTACGGAGTCGTAGAAAGAGAACAAAAATGAGGGGTGAAACTTTGAATGCTTTGTGTTTTTTGAAACATTATTTTAAAGTAAAAAAAAAAATCGTTTAAAATCATTATACTCGTACAAGTTGATTTAGCAAAAAGTTTGAAGCCACATATCGGGTAGACAGTCGAAAATTAGTATAGTTTTTCTTCAGAACCGTTTTGGAGCTACAGGGATTTTAAGAAAACTTAGCGAAATCCTTTTTTTTTAACTTTTAGCGAATTTTTTTTTAACTTTCTCTTTTGCCTATAATTTTCGTTCCAAAAAAGATAGAAGCTTTAAACAAACAGTTATTAAAAGGGCTGTTATCACAAAAAGATTTTTTAACGTTTTATGACTTAAATTAAAACTTAAGCAGTTGGCCAAAATTCTGTAACGAGCATTTTGGAAATTTAAAAAAATTTTATGAAAAATCGTTTAATAATGTGCTATCCTTTTTTTAAAGCTCTCTAATAGCCCTTTCAAAAACTGTAGCCCCGAAACGGTTCCGTTTGACACTATGCTGCGAACAAAAATTTTACTTAATCTCGACAGCTGTCTCCCCGATGGTATACGGCTCCTAACTTGATGCTGGATCACCCTGCATACCTGAAAAAAAAATGAAATTATCTTAGTTTTCAATAATTTTAAGTAGTTTTTGTTGATTCAATTCCAAATTAGCTCTTATTTGTAGCACGCTTGAAATAATAAACCGTAGTAAAGTGCGTGCGGAATTTTATTCTGAATTAAAGAAATGTAGCTTAAATTTTCTCGCTGCCGCATAAGATCAAAAATTTTAATATTTATAACAATATCATTTATGCCATTTTCGTAACTTAGCTGAAATTTTAGTGTACGGTTTAATTCCGCGGCTTAGAAATTTAAGTTTTATTGTAGAACTTTCAGCGCAGCGTGCATAAACGGTAATCTTAATCTTAATTGTTGAAATTAGTCTACTTATTTTTGTTTTTAGAATAAAAATATTGGATTTGATACATTAGCATTACATTTTATTTCAACTTTTATTTTTCTCAAGAATTCTCGAAAATCTTGATAAAATCTAGGGAAAGATCGGGAATACTTTTTCACTTCTGGAGAAATAAAGAAAGTGAGAAATGAGGACCCGTTTTTAATTTAGACTAATTTTCCAACGTTTGATGTTAATTTCTAATATTCATTTTGTGTTTTTATTGTGTAAAATATTTTAAATTTTATGATTTTATTATTTTAGAAAATTTCAATTCTTGAATATATATTAATTAATATGAACTTAATTTATTTTAAGAGTTGGTAAATTGATTACTATTGAATTATTTTGCTTTTTACATAAAATTTCTACAATTTCATCCTATTTAAACATTTAATTGCTATTTAAATATTATACTAACGTATACTACATACTTTATTAAGTTATTTTTAAACGTTATTAGTTAATATGTATAAATGACACAATATTTAAGTTTTTGTGCTCAAAATTAATTTAAGATTACAAATAAAAATTAATTTCTATAATTTACCTCCAGTAGCTTTCTATACTTTTTGCATTGTTAATCCCCAGACCCAATAATTTTAAATATGAGTTTATTTTTTATAACGTTATTTTTTTGTTTTTAAAAGACTAATTAGTAAAGAAAAATAAAATAATAATAGCAATAAGTTATTGAAATACAATGAATGATATTATAATAGTATTAAAATTAAAATCATTATTTTAAAGGAACAATAATTAACACAAGAAAATTTTTTTTGTTTTAGCCGTAATTTGATACAAAAATCTCATGTTGTTTTTTAGTAAACAAAAAAAAAATTCAAAAACAAAAATGTTAAGATTAATTTTATATTAAAACATACCTTCTTCATCCCCCAATTTAAAAACTAATTCTTTAGCTCTGTTTGGTATATCTAGATTTTCAATTATTACACTCTTAATGTTTTGTGCCCACAATTTTTTCTCATCACGATTTCTGGCAGTTAATTTTGTTAAATGTCTTGGTTCATCATATGGAATCACATTAAAGCTAGTAGGTTCACCTGGCAAATGTTCAGTCAACATTAAATTATTACGCTAAAAATTGAAGATATAATTTTCTTAAGTTAAAACTTCAACAAAACAATGATTTTTACTTACGTAAATGTAAGATTTAAATTGCAAGCGATTGTCTTCTTTAGGCTTAGTTATAATTAACATTGTTTCAAATAAAAAGATCATTCGACGTTTACCATTTTCCATCAATGAACCCTCCAAACGTAGTTCACCCAATACTGTTAGTTCTGTAATATTTTCCAAAAAATTTATTAAAAATTTAATTAATGTGTACGTACTCTTTTTACTTTTTTTAAAGTTAATTTTAATATTTTACAAAACTTTATTTATACAGTATTTTAATTTTTATTTTAATATAGATGGATATTGCTAAATCTACTCAGAACTGACGTGGAGAATGAATATAGATATACACAACATTTATGTTGGTATGGCTATATAATATAATATCTTTTCGTTAAAGAGAGTGTTTGAAACCATCTATATGGATTCTAACGAAACATATTTAGTAGGTACAATAACAAACCAAACCCCATACAATTGGAGAGAAGAATATAATTTTGAATCATAATTTTACAAGTACATTCACTTATTTGTGCACATTTATTTAATTATTTTTTCTTATAATACAATATCAACTCTTCTTAAATATTTTACATACACAAAATTATTTACATATGTAATTTAATTTATAATTTTAAATTGTTTATAAAATATTTGTTAACTTTAATAATTCAAGACATTTTTTTAAACAAACCTGGTCCTAACCAACCATCTAAAATCCCCGATAATTCTTTAACACGATTCTGTTGTTCTAGTTTTCTTTTAACTTGATCGATATTTCTTGCAACTTCTTTCATAATTTCATGTGCTTTTGTTGTTTCTGGATTGTCGCAATATTTCCGAACGTTCTATAAATGTATAAGGTTATTTTTCTGTTAATGCAACCAATTTATTTGTAAAAAATGTAATTACGCCTAAAAGTAAGTGATATTTTAAAATCCTTTGAACTGGTTTTAGTAAATATGACCCAAGCGGCAATGTATGTTGCAATTGCTTCTGTGTTGATGTTAATAAGGCATTTGTTTGCGATGCTTGTAAAAGACTTGTTAACAGTGATATTGCTGCAGGATAACTTGTGCTAAAACAAGGTTATTAACATTATTTACATTAAAATTGCAGTTCTGCAATATATTTTTTATAACAATTTTTCAAGCTTGAAACTGAATATTAAATTAGCTAGAGTTTTTTGAATGTATAAAATATGCTGATAAGAAGTCAAGCCAAGAAAAGAATATGTTCTTATCAATTATGCTCTTATCTTGGTTTGACTTTCAATTAGGCTTGGCTTCTTATGCAGTCGAAAAGTAGATATAAAATATTTCTGTTGGATAACAATTAGAAGACATAACAATCTTTTTTGAAAAATGTTAATTAGACGTTCAAAACTTATTGTATAAGTTTACATGGTATCATAGATAGTCATGCCCCAGCTTTATTTTGCCATAGAGTTTTTAATTAGGTAACTAGCCTACCGTAGTTTGTTTTCCTTTGTATTAAATTTTAAAGGTTATTAATATTTATTGCTTATTTTTCTTAGTTTAATATCGAGTATTATGGATATTTGAAAATTGTATACTAATTTTTTTGTTATTATAAGTATTGTGTGTATTAAGCTATAATAATTATACCCGTACGAACGTATGTTCGAAGGGTATACTAAATTTGCCTTACCGTTTGTAACGCTAAGAAATAACGGTGTTAGATATAGACTCAAGTGTATGATTTTGATCAGCATCAAATTCTGAGTTGATTTAGCTTTGTCTGTCCGTCCGTCCGTCCGTCCGTCCGTCCGTCCCAACGATAACTCAAAAACTAATTGAGCTAAGTTCACCAAATTTTCGCAAATGATTTATTGTAGTAAGTGCCAGAACCCTATTTAAATTGGACATGATCGGGGTACCGGTTCGGGTAGCTGCCATACAGCTTCAAAATTTATTTGGCTATATCTCAGAAACTATAAAAGCTATGGTATTGAAATTTCACACAAACGAATATATTAGTAGGGCCAATATGCCACATAAAAGTCGTTGAAATTACCTGGCTCCTTCTGGTACCTGCCATACAACTTCAAAAGTTATTTGGCTATATCTCAGGAGCTATAAAAGCTGTGATATTGAGATTTCACACAAGTGAATATATTAGTAGGGCCGATGTGCTTGATAAAATTCGCTAAAATTTCTTGGCTCTTTCTGGTAGCTGCCATACAACTTCAATAGTAGTTTGGCACAACCAGTATTTTGAAAAACACATAGTACTGAAATTTTGCATAAATTAATATGGTAATACGGCAACTTAAAGTCATAGTCTGCCCCATAGTTAAACGGCACATTAGATATTCGCACATAGGATAACAAATTCGTACGTAGAGTTGACAAGGTCAACTCTATTTTTTTTCTCGTATTCAATATAATTTTATAGTGGAGGTCAGAAATTTTACTAACATTTTATAATTTTGGTAATTTTTTATTGACATCTATATAACATAATTCAATAAATATTCAATAAAAGTATTACTTTATAATTATTATGATTTAGCTTGAGATATCTATATCAATTATTTTGCTATGCTATATGTCACGCTTTAAAAAAAATACTAATTGAATTTTTAGACCAATTTTTTACTTCTTAATAATAGAACTAGCGCTAAACACACAGCAAAATTATTTTTCTTGTACATATTTAAGAGTTTATGCAGAAGTCAATAATCTAGCCGCAAGTCGTAATATGCCATGAATCCTTCAGTAAATAAAACACTGAAAAAACGCATATCTAAGTGGTCATTAACCATTTTCAAGATCATATTTGTGCTTTGTACATAAAATATTTGATGATTACATAATGAAACATAAACATATTTCAATACTTCTTGTAGTAGAACATGTTAAAATTAGTGCTATAATTGGACAAAATAAAACTAAAAGGAAAATAATATAGGCAACTTCCTTGATAATTAAATTATGAAATATGAATATTGTAATAAAAATTCAGATGACGGTAAAAATGCTGCAGGCGTTTTTATTGATCTATAGAAGGCGTTCGACTGTGTCAACCGTGAAATACTTTTAAAAAAGCTTCAATTGCTAAATTGCTCTACCAATCAGGCGAAGTATTTCAAATCATATCTATCCAGTCGTTAACAGGCGGTTCGTATAGGTAATGTGTGTGATACTTTCAAAACCATACTGGGACCCGGCTAATTTAGACTTTATATTAATGATATGGCAAAACTACATCTCAAAGGATCAATGCAACTCTACGCAGACGATGCTGTTTTAAAATATGCAGAAAGTGATGATTGACAATTAAAATTTTCAATTGAGGAAGACTTAAAATTAATAAAAAAATGGCTAAAAGAATATCATTTTTCAATTAATATAAAAAAACTAAAGTCATGGTCTTTGAAAATTAAGAAAGGTTGTCTGGGTTAAAAATTGCAATTTTTTTTTAAAGCATTTCTCGGATGGAATTTACCAATTGATTTTTTTTTTAAATTTAAGTTTTAAATTAAAAAAACAGTAGAATCAGTAAAGCTAAAAGTATTAACGAATTTCCCTCACACAAATAATTTCCAACACCTCTTCCATTTAAACTCCATATAAATTAGGAATTTCTCTGAGCTTGGTGGCCTGATAGATATAATATGGAATTACTTCGATAACATTTTTATGTAATTTTTTTTAACGTTCTCCAAATGCAACATTTCGGAAAATAGCTTCAACTTATTGGCCTGATAAATATAATCACTAGTAAAACTAATTTGGAAACAGTATGTATATTTATAAAAATGTTTTGAATTATATTCAAAATTAAAATGAATTGGTGGGGAAAACTTTTAAGTGAAAATTGGAAATTCTTGAAATTAAAAATTTGAGTTTTCTTTGCTACTTTCAGAGAATTTGGTTAGCATAAAGCGAGCCTCTCATAAGAGCTAAATTCGCATTTCTAAATTTACCTAAAATTTGTGAGAAATATTTAAACGGCATTTTGGTAGTCTTATGTAACATATAAGCTAAACTAGACAATGTCTTGCGGTTGGTTATGCGTTGACCATATCAGTTTCTTTTTATGTTAATCAACATAATGTCTGCTAAGTATATTACAACATACGAGTATTACTAGAAGTTCTTAACGCGAATCACACTAATTTCAAATATTTTTGAAAACAGTAAGACAAAATTAGCACGTTGAGCTTCATGACACGTAATACATAGAGACTCAACGTGTCGAAAAATGAATGTATGTACGTTAGTAATTCATTTATTGAGGAAAGGAAAATTAAAAATTAGATAAGGGAAGCTGTTGACTCGCAAGATATCAAAAATTAGGTTCCATATAAACTGCACATAATAACTAACATATGTTAGTTATATCCTTTGCAAGCATTATGCTAATTTACATAAAAAAGAAAAAATTGATATGATCAACACATAACTGACTGCAAAGCATGCCTTTTAAATACTTCTTATAAATTTTAGGGAGGCTAGTATGCTTTAAGTTAACATACCTAGAAAAATATAAATTTAGCTCTTACCGGAGGCTCATTTTAGTCTAACCATTTGGTCCCCGAAAAATTCGGCAATTAGTTTGCTACAGAACTCAAACTTTTAGTTGAGTTTTGAGTTAACATCCCGAATGCAAACATTAAATTTCACGGAAATTGGGTGTTTTTTTCTCTTTATATGCGCAAAAAAGTAAACTTGGCCCGTATATTTTGTTTTATTTACTTTATATTTGCATTAACTCGGATGTGTCGATTACCACCACTGAAAACAAATTCAACCCTAATTATTATATACATATATACACATTTACATAATATACATTATTACCGAGCGTATTGTGTATATAATAAGTAGGTTATGTGATGGCAAAAAATTTTGCATATCGAATTTTCGGTGGGAACGCACTTTTTCATGGTAATTGGTAGGGAAATGTAAATAAGCTAATTTTGTCATCCTGTCGGTCTGTCTGTCTGTGTGTGTACGCGTGTATCTCAAGTTCGGCTGAACCGATTTTGATGAAATTTTATATTTAAGTTTATTTCGACTATGGGACAGATTGATCAACTTTTGGGATATGTCAGGCTCCGGAAACTGCAGGTTTTAGCGGGCCTGTTTTATCGAAAACAGGAACTGCACTGCTGTTACCGAAACAAACTATACCAAGTATTTCAAGGAATTCGGGTAGCACAAAGCGAAACTCTACTAAGAGCCAAATTTTCATTTTTCTAGGTGTGTTAACTAAAAGCTTACTAATTGGAAGGAATTATTAAATAGTCATTTTTATAATATTCTGTAACACTTTCACTTAACTAGACAGTACACATTGCTGTCGGTTATGTGCTGATCACGTCAGATTTTTTTTCTGTTACATTATAATATAAATGCATAAAAAACTTTTTCGGCTACTTACGTTTATGAGTAAAACCAAACATAAAAAAAACTTTTCTGAGTGTTACTTTATTTCATATGCGTTATTATGAACAGGAATGTCGTTTGACTTTTTGGACGGAGAGCGAAGATATTCAAAAAAGGGAGTCATTTTCAAAAAAGTGGAGATAATTCCCATATTAATAAAAAAACAATTTACAATACTTCAAAATTTCTTACCGTTGGTTAAATAAGATCACAACTTGGTTCCTAGCTTTTCGCATTAATATTTTTAAATAATTCTTTTGAATTTAAAATGCTGCTCACCATTTCAACATAAAACGAGTTTCTCAATTTGGTTTTAATCAAATTAACAGAAGAAAATACCCTTTCAGCTGTCGCACTACAGTAAAAAATTCTACAGCACTACAAAAAACTTCTATACAAACATTTCATCTGTTGACGTTCACGAATTGTCCTAAGTTTGGTTATTTAATACTTGAATTGACTAATTGATTAACTTAACTACAAAAAGATGGGTGGCGACTTCTGAATTAGCAGAAAAAGGTATGCGTTCATAATTTCGTTAACTAAGGTTTTGTGAGCAAATTTTTAAATATTTCAAAAAACGTTTCAACTGAAAAACTTTTCAAGAATAATTATCAATATTTTTTTTTAGGTCTGAGTGAGGGAAAAACAAAATCGGAGC